ACTACTACCGCTACTACGGCAACTACTGCGACTACTACCACTAGTACTGCAACAACTACAACTACAACTACAACTACAACTATAAGTACAACTACAACTACAACTACAACAACAACAGCTACTACTACGACGACGACGACTACTACTACTACTACTATTACCACTACTATTACTACTACTACTCCTACTACTCCTATTACGGCTACTACTACTACTACTACTACTACTACTACTACTACTGCTACTACTACTACTACTACTACTACGACTACCACTATTACGACTACTATTACTACTACCACTACTAGTACTACTAATACTACTGCTAGTACTACGACTAGTACGACTAGGTCGTCCTCCTCCTCCTAATCCTCTTCATCCTCCTCTTCCTCCTCCTCCTCCTCCTTTTTCACCCGTCGTTCCACTACTACTACTACCACTAATAAAAACAATAATACCACTACTACTACTACTAGTGCTGCAACTATTACCACCACTACTACTACTACTACTACTACTACTACTACTACTACTACTACTACTACTACTACTACTACGACTACTACTACGACTACTACTACTACGACTACTACTACTACTACTACTACTTACGACTACTACTACTACTACTACTACTACTACTACTACTACTACTACTACTACGACTACTACTAACGACTACTACTACTACGACTACACTACTACGACTACTACTACTACTACTACTACTACTACTACTACTACTACTACTACTACTACTACTACTACTACTACTACCACTACAACTACTACTACTACGACTACTAGTACTTCTACTACTTCTACTATAGTACTATTACCATTACTACCACTACTACCACCACCACCATTACTACTGCTACTACTACTACTACTACTACTACTACTACTACTACTACAACTACTACTACTACACTAGTACTACTACTACTACTACTACTACTACTACTACTACTACTACTTTACTACGCTACTACTACCACTACTACTACTACTAACTACTACTACTACTACTACTACTACTACACTACTACTAACTAAATACTAATACGTACTACTACTACTAATAACTACTACTACTACTAACTACTACTACTACTGACTAACTACTACTACTACTACTACTACTACTACTACTACTACGACTACTGACTACAACTGCTACTACTACTACTACTACAACTACTACTACGACTACTACTACTACTACTACTACTACTACTACTACTACTAGTAGTACTACTACTACTGCCACTATTACTACTACTACTACTACTACTACTACTACTACTACTACTACTACTACTACTACTACTACTACCACTACTACCACTACTACTACTACTACTACTACTACTACTACCACTAGTGCTTCTACTACTACTAATACCATTACGACTGTTTCTACGAGTACCACCAACCCGACTACTTTTTGGCCTGGACACAACACCCACGTTGGATCCCAACGTGGGGTTGTATGTTTACAAGAAGGGTCATGGAACACACGTTGACAACACACACACACACATTGTGCCCATTTGTGCATATGCGGTCTGGCAAAGCGGGGCGGCATCAATGCGACGCCACGGGGCGTCGTGGACTCGAACTTGGCCTGGAAGCGCGCCGCGCACGACGACTCAGATCATGAAGTCCTGCAACCGATCAGTGTGTTCTGGGGGGGCGCACGACCACGCAAAACACTGATCGGCTAAGCGTTCGCTGGCGCCCGGCTCGCCCTCATGCCCCATTCCCAGCCTCATCCCACTATCCGTTCGATTTGGCCCCAGCCTCAACATGCCCCTCCGATTACCCCCAATCCCCAACACGCCCTTCATCCACAATGCCAACCCTCCATCTGCCAGTCCATGTCGTTCCTCGTCGTCCTCCTCCGCCGGATGAGTTCCCCCCATCGTCCACATGCCTGCCCCCCTCCCATCCTCTACGCCCTAATGCGGATCACCCACCCTCCTTATGCCCCCCCCCCCCTTCCCTCGCCCCCGCGATGTTGACACGGATGATGCAGCTACTCGCGGGCCCATTTCCCCCCCTTTCGTCCTGCCCCTTTCCTCCACGGCCCCATTCGCCACCCTTCGTATCGAACCCCTTCCCTCCCATAGCCCGCCATCCCCAGCCCCCCGCGCCTCTGCGTTCCCAGACCGCGGCCCCCTCCTGGGCCAGCCGAAAGATCCGCGGAAATTCCCACCCAGTGACCACTCCAGCGACCGGCGCGCAACATATGCGCAGTTAGAGACACGAGCGGTGCAATTCGACCGCGTGCGACGCCCCCCACTGGACCAGCCGAAAGAAAAACGTGAGAGCGCCCGCCCACTCAACACCACCCGCGAGGGGCACACCCCAAATACACACATGGGAACAAGATCTGCGTACACAAATCACACCACGATTTATGTAAACAGTGGACTCACACACACACACACACGAAAATACACAGTTGAAGACACCAGGTGCGCACACAGATCACACCTTGATCGGTGCATTTCGAAAAGGTAAACGTTCGCCACCTCGAGGGCACCCCGACTTTGCCACCCCAGAACCGAAGTCGACATGCCCAACTAGGACGGACTGCAAATACACACTTGCCCGGCCCAGGGCGCCCCCGAAGGAACTGCAAATATACGCTTCCCTGGCCCGGGGCGGCCACGGTGAAATGCGGCACCACAGCGGCCCCCAACGGCCGGAGGACGTCCCAAAAGGGCCCCGAAGGACCCCAAATAAGGCCGCACAGCAGTCCTAGAGCACGACAAGAGTCACATTGCACGGACCTGTTAACCGTCAGAGATCCACGCGTCGCCATACAGACTGGTGCGGTGGCGAAGGAACGGACCTTGCAGCAGGCACCTATACATGTACAGGTTAGCGATGCGACTGTCTAGAGTGCGCCCCGAAAGCTTGCATTGGCAATCCCCTCTGCTTGGTTGCGCCGGTGTGTTCGGATATCGAAAGGGCGGTGTACCGCTGATGCGGGCACGCGGAACCAAGGACTTCACCTCCTTTTTTCGAACAACGGCGGAGCAGGGACGCAACGAGGAAAAATGGGGGAGGTGGAAGGGGGCGCTCTCCCGCCCGAGCCTCGGACGTTTTCGACACCATCCAAGGGGGGGGGGGGAGGGGGACGGAGCAAGGGCGGGGACGACGACGGGAACCAAACTGTCCTCGGTCCGCATATAGCCATATTTGCTTGCGACTCGGAAACGCGCGCTTTCTTCGAGGCACTCCAAGCCCGCATACTGAATTCACTAATTCCTCCAAATTGTGTAAGCACTCTGTCCTCTGCACCCCCTCCTATACAACTGTCTTGGCACAGATGGGCGATGGATTCCAACTCTCACGGACAAGCCCTAAATTAGAAACTTGGTCTTTCGAAACTCCACCGTATGAAGTTCCATCCACGCAAGAGTTGATGAAGTTCTGGCCGCACGAGGTCCCGAAGAGACTGGAGAGACCTCAAAGCGGCCTTTCCTCAAGATTGTGAATGCCGCCCTCGGCGACGAACGCGTCGATCTATAGTGCAAGCTTCTTACGAACGTGCTCACAATTCCTCCGTTGACAGAGGTAGCCCAAGGGCATTACTCGCCGAGAGAAAAAACAAACATTATCCAGCACGGCAAACACTAGTGGGGAAATGCTTGGGGGACCGTGTCGCGGGGACTGGCGCTGAAGGTGAACGTGTAGGTCATACATATATCAGCGCATGTAGCCATTGTTTGCAAACGCGACGAGGTGAAGGAGGAGATTGTGAGCAAGGTCTTCGGCGACGAATGTGTCGCGCTATATAGTGCAATCCTCGTACAACACGTGCTCAATTCCTCTGTCTAGCAGGGTAGTAACCCAGGAGGGATTTTTTTCGCGGGGAAAAAGACTCCCCGACATTATCCAACACGGCCAAAAAAATGGGAAACCAATCGGGCTCCCGATGCGCGGGCGCCGACGACCAAGATTTTGCTGTAGATTGTCATGTGTCAGCATGTAACCCTATCGCATTGCAACTACGACGAGATGAAAGTGAGGACTGTGCGCATCGCCATCGGCGACGAATGCGTCGACCTAGAAGGCAATCACATCACAAACGTGCTCAAAATTCTTCCGTCATGCAGGGTAGCCCAAGGAGCACGATTCACTGGGAAACAGAAGCCCCCGACATTATCCAGCACGGCGCCCGATGCGCGTGCCCTCAGCGTCGCGGACTTCCCTCAAAACATTGGTTGGTTTGGGTGCCTCAAAAGAGCAGGACCCAACACTGAGCCGCAATAACTACAGAAAGACAGAAGGGGAGGGGAGAGGGCTCACACGGACATTTCTCATCCCGGCATTAAACTCACATGCGCCAGGGTTTGGCTCTTACGAGGTCCTCCCCGTTCTTCATCTCGTCGTCTTGCCTGTCCTCCTACTCCTCCCCCTCCTCCTCCCGCCCCCCCCCGTCGCCCCCTATTGATCTTCCTCTCCTTTCCCTGTCGCCCCTGCCGGGCCGCGCCTGCTTGCATGTCTCCTTGTGTAATTTCAACTACTAGTTGCCATTCACGCTCAGAGGCGGAATGCCACGGAACCAATGCTCTAAGAAACTGTGTCCGGAAAGTGGCGATTTCCGTGGTTAGAGACCCGGGATTACAACCCCAACACCTGGGAGTCCCCCTTGGTGACGGGGGTGGGGACCCACTCGGGTGCACCCAGGCCTTATCTCAAGGAGGTGGACGAGGGGGAGGAGGAAGAGGAGGAGCAGGCGGAGGAGGAGGGCTGAGCTTGATTCACCGCCTAGAGAAACAGAGGGGATCAAAACTAGAGACCTCCTGAGGTTTATTAACAGGCGCGTTGACTGTATCATGGCCCCGGCCATGATATCCGCCCCCCCCCCTGTCATCACCCCCCTCTCGGCCGCCCCCGAGTTACGTGAGCCCCTCCTCCTCGACAACCCCTCGACGACCACTGGAGCCCCGTGCCCGAGCTGCGCGGGGCGGCGCCCGAACCTCCTTCTTCTTCTGCTCCCACTCCTGGGGTGGCGGGCGGGCGGGACCCCGCACCGCCGCTGGCATGGGGGGGCACACTTGTTCGGCGGCGAGGCGGGGGGGGACGTGAGAACCGGGGAGGATTCTGGGACCCCCCGGTCCACGCGGACCACGGGGATTTCTGGGATAGGCGCTGGACCCCCACTTCATGGTCATGTCCTTGTCCGTCCCCCGAGAGCAGGAGCAGGCCTTGACAGCATGCGGCTAGGCTTCTCATTCAGCCTCGGGCCTTCTGAGAGATTGTCTGTCTTCGGGGAAGGCTTAGAAAATTTGTCAGAAGGCCGGAGGCCTTCCGAGCCTTCTGAGAAAGGCCGCTCCCTCTAACTCCCCTCCCTGGGCTCGCCGCCGAATGCAACACGCCCCCCTTGGCGGCGCACGCCCGAACCGAACATATAGCACAAACACATCCCAATAGATCGCTGCACTGGCAGAACGGCCAGAAAACGCCCGCCACCGAGCACATACAATAAGAGTTCTGAGCGCGCGCTTCGCCCCTGCACACATAAGATCCGCATGTTTGGGTCATGCCTACGGTGAGCCACTGCCAGGAAGAATGATGAAGGAGGAGCAGTGCCCCCAAGTTTAGGAAACAGCTCCTGGGAAGTCTTCGTGAGAACACAGTCAAAATCGACTGAGGCGCCATCAGGTCAGATAAGGCCAGATTGAGCGGGGGACTTAGCCGAATCAGGCGGGAGTAAGCACGACTAGACGGGGTTAGGCGAGATTAGTCTGATTATCGACCACAATGCGCGGCGGAAAACACATCGACATCGATAGCCTCGCGGGCCCGGCCGCTGGGTCGCGACCCCGTGTATACGGGGCGCTTGTTCGCCAAACACCCCGCGCGCAACGTATGCATGCGGCCGCGTATACGCGGGATCACGTTCCGCAGTCCAGACCGCGAGGGCGTGGATGTGGATATGCTCGCCGCTCGTGAACAATTGAGCTACCGCCAACAGAACGCGAACGAAGGAACGGAAGACATCTTCTTGGGCGCCAGGAGCCACCGTGCATGCACGAGGAGCGACGGAGGAGCAGCGGTGAAAGGATGCGAGAAACAAGTCTCTCCCGAGCCGGAACTGTTCCTCGTGCAGGCGCATTGGCTATATGGCGGCCCCAGACTCTGTGGGACTCGACTGGGCCAAGGATCTGGCGCCGAACTCGGGGACACGCAATGAGGGAGGGGGGCCATCCCCGGCAGGGGTGCGTCCGAGCAGCCTCCTGGAGGGTATCCCCGAGCTCCCCTCCTTTTCTGAGCGACGGGGGGCCAGAAGTCGCCCGCGAACACCTGCCCCGCCCCTCGGCGCCCCGTCCGTCGCAAAAGATCGGCAGGGCCGCGAGGCTGGCGGCCAGGAGGGCAGGTGGCGGCGGCGGCGGCCCTCAGAGATTAACGAGGGGCATGGCGACCCCAATCCCGGACTTCGTGGGGTTTCCGAACGGACCACACACCTGTTGGGCCAAACTCGGTGATATACGAGGGGGGGCGTCCATCCTCGATAGAGGTGCGTCGGATCAGCGCCCTTGGGAGTTTATCCGCGGGTTTCCCTCCTTCTCTGAGCGGCTCGATAGTCAGAGGGCGTGGGCGACAACTCGCCTGCGAGGGACGGCGGCACCCGCGCGCTCGGCGGCGGGGGGTCGAGGCGAGCGCTGTCTGCATTCCCGGCACTTCCCACACTGACGCAAGAGCCAAGTTCTCGGGTGCCTTGCCGCCCGTTCTCGGGGCCCCAGGGGCCCTCCACATGCCGCAGGACCGCCAAAACATGAAGCGACCCGAGATGAGGAACCCGTCCCGTTGGAAGGCCCCACTGGGGTCGGCGCGGGGGGTGCTAATCGGATAAGGGGGTTATATGTGGATGCCAAAGGGGGTTCTCTCTAGCCTGACCCAGCTTGGTTGCATGTGCCCCACATGGCGAAGGGGGGTCAGACAACTCAGCTGCGTGGGCGGAGCCCACTTAGCGAAACCCACGTATAGGCTAGGCCACGCCAGCCGCTGATAAAAGACTGTCCACTTCTATAGCACACCCCGCGCCGATCCCAGCCGAATCCAGGACCCGTTTTCCTCTCAGGACCCGCTTCCCTCATGCCAGATGTCGGGGCCCGCCCGCACTGGAGCGGACCAGGCCCCAGGGGGGCCCGACCCGCCCCCCAAGCAGTGGAGGGCGCCCCACGACTGTTCCAGGACCCCGTAAGCGGGGTCTTTTTGATGAGTTGTCGTCGTCGTCTTCCTCCGGACCTTGCCATCGCCGAAGCTGGCACAGAGCTGGGCTGGGTAGGCGGGGGTCCTGGAGCTCGTTGACCCACTCTCTAGCAAACCAGCTGGCGCGCGCGGAAAGGAGGCTGCTACCGTGGGCAGAAGCATCGTCCATTCTCAGTTGCCCCCGGCTGGAAGTTCAACACTCCCGATTCGCAATGTCCCGGCTTTTGGGGCCCTGTGGGGCAGGGTTCGCGCCATATTGGCACCTGTGACGCAACGGGCAGGTGGTCTGGCGTGAGCAGACGGCACACGGCGCTCAACGCGGCGCAGAACTTACTAGTAGCATTCGGCAGAATCGGGTCGTGATAATTTCGGCGTTGGTTTCCGACACCGCGTGGATCGCTCAATCTTGAACGATCGGCGGCGCGTCGGTCGCCCGATTCGTCCATGGGCCACTGACGGCATTCCTCCTTGAACGCCCGTGCTGACGTCGCCGCCGCGCCGACACCGCGCGAACCTGCCGAAGATGGCGAATGGCGCTCAACGTAGACCTTCACCACGTTGGGGCAGTATCCGAACATACCGAACGACCTTCAACGAGCGGCCTGCACCGCTCGTTCCTTCTTTGTGCCTTCTTTCACTCGGCGTTGCGCCGCCTCGTTGTCGCGGCAACCAAGCGCAGGACGTGGCGCGAAAGGCCAAGGGGTGGTCCTCCCTGGAAAGGGGATCAGGCTTGGGCCCGAATCTAGATGAAAGCCCAACGTAAACATAAGTCTCGGAGGACCGCGCAAATTTCTTGGATCGGCGCTCGAGCATGTATACGTATGCCCGTTTCCTTATCCGATAATATCAGCCCTGTTGTGAGTCTCCGAAAAAGGAGCCAGCTGTACAGCCGAGCGTGGAAGAAACGCCCAACCAGTGTTGGCAGGGAGCAGTGCGCTCCCCGCCTGATAGGCTGTGCGCAGGCAGATGCAGCCAATAATCACAGAGCCCTCATAGATAACGATGGTTGTTTGAATCAACACGGCTAAAGATAACCTACATCCTTCACAGTCCCTCCTGAAGAAGGCACTGCCGCACTCCTTTTCGGCTAAGTGCCAATCCGCGCTGCCGCCGACGAGCAAGCATTCCAGCCTGCACTCATGGATGGCCGGACCTCCGGCCCAAGGCTAGGCGCCAATCCGCGCCTCCGCCAACAAGCAAGCACTCCTGCCCGCACGCATAAATGGCCGACCCTACGGCCCAAGCCGCACTCAAACCGCTGCCCTCAGGGACAACTCACTCCGTCCTTCCCAAATCACGAGCCCGCACCGATTCATGAAACAGTCGATCGTGTTACCCGAGAGGTGCTTCGTCATCATGTCCGCAGTATTCTGCTCGCCGGGGACCTTGACTAGCTTCGCGCGCCTCCCGTGGTAGATGCCCTGCGCCCACAGAAACTGCGCGTGCGGGTGCCTCACCTCTCCCGCTCCGAGCCTCGGCGCCATGCCGCGCCCGGCCGTCGCGTCCGTCTCGACGACAAGGTCCTTCGCCACGCCGAAATCCATGCACGCGCGAATAGCCCCGAGTCCGACGCTGGCGCCACGCACGATCGCGTAGAACTCCGACTCTCCACTCGATAAAGCAACCACTGTCTGGGTGTTGGCGGTCGCTTTGAGTAGACGCGCGCCGTGATACAGCGCGATCCCTGCAGTTCTCCTCTGTAGTCAGCACGCGGCCCGCGCGGTCCCAGCCGCGCGCCGCCCTCAGGACGTCCGGCTCGATTTGCTGGACGAACCGCTGCACGACCCTCGGCCTGCGCATCAGGCAGCGCCCGATACGTTTCACCATCTCCATGGCGACCCCAGTCGGCTTGCTCATCCACCTCGCCGCCTCTTTAGCCGCGAAGAGCAAGTCGATCCTGTCCATCGCTAAGTAGTGCATCCTCATGCAGACGCTCTTGCACACCGAAGCCTCGGTCGCGCCAAAGGAAGGAGAGTCCGTCAACTCTTCCGCCGTCGTCTTGATGCCCGGCGCCTTGACCGACTTGCTGCTTTTGTCGAGCCCGAGACCCACCTAGGCCCAAGCGATCTCCGCGCGGGGGGGGTCGGCCTCCCACTGCAAGCACGGAGCGCCGGTCGTCGTCTCGGTGAGCTTGACAATCCTGTCGAGCACGCGATTTCCCGCAAATCGCCGTCGCCCCAGCTGAGCACTCCGCGCACCAACGCCAGGAGATGCATTGACTACTCAGTCTTGCACCGCCCCAGGGCGTCGTCATCGCCCTCGCTCCCGAAATCGCCCCCGCGGTGGAATAGCAGGGTCTCCTTCTCGTCGCACCCGCGCAAGCACGGGCATAATATGCCCATCTTGAAGCCCATCTCGCGCAGCGCCTCCATCGCCTTGTCCGCGAAATTCGCCGCGGCGCCCCTCGTGCCGCACGTGCTCTTGAACAACAGCGCGCAGTAGCCCGCGCGACGCCGCTCGGCCGGGAACTGCGCGAAACCCCGCCGACGCGCCGGGCTGTAGAAGCGCGCCCGGCTGATGTCGATGAACATCAGCTCGCGCCGCTTGCTTTCGCCCTGCATCCTGCTCGCCATCTTGCCGAAGAGCATCATGACGCCCTCCTGCGGTGGGGTGGCCGAGAACGCGTGGGCCCGGAAAACCCTGGCCTTTCGTCTGAACGCTCTTCAGCTCCTTCGCAACCAGTCTGCATCTAATCTCCGGGCGAGCGTCGTCGCCTTTGTTCGCGTCCACCCACTTGACCTGGATGGGCTTCGCCTTGGTCTCCTCCCAGCAGGGAGACTCCGGGACCTCCTCGCGCACCTTCGCGTCGCCCATGCACTTGAGCCCCCCCCCCTGCCGGCCCGCGCCAGCTTGGCGTCGAGCAGCTGGCCCAAGATGTTGTCGCGCAACTCCTCGCGCCCCAATGGATCACGAGGAGTTGCGCGACAGCGCGGCATGTCCCAGGTCGCGGCGCCCACCTCGCAGGTGACGCCCGCGGTGCACGCACTCAGGTCGCCATTGACCTTCAGCTGCGTCTTCAAGCCAATGAGGATCACTGCCGCCAGAGCCGGCGGGCAGCTCTGCGCCGGCCGTGTCCTCGAGCCTCCGACCAGAGGGGCGCGATGCCACTGGTCCCGTGGCAGGCCCTCTTTCTCGAGCCAGAGAGAAACATCTGCCAAGACGCACTCTGAATTGCCCATCCAGCCGGCAGGCTCGAGGAAAAACCAAACCAATCTCGCCATCGAAGTCGATCGACTGCTGGCCCAAAACGCACTGATGCCCCGCAGAATGCGCGACGCAGTCCATCTTCGAAAGCTCGATCATGAAATCCAGCTTCCAGCTCCGAGCACGGACTGGGAACTCGCGCAGAAAGCAACGCCCCTCCTTCACCTGCTTGACGTACATCTTCACGCAGAACCGCAGGTGCTGGATCTCCTCGACAAGCTTCTGCTCGCACGCCTCTGGGAAGCGATCCTTGTTGAGGTTCATGATGGCGCTGAGGGCGCGACGCATCGGCGACCCAATCAAGAGGCGCGGCTTCTCTTCTTCGATGACCGCCTCGCACGTCCTCTGGCGATCGGGGCCCGACAGGCCCCGCTGCGCACCATTATTGCCCTTCGGGCGCAGGTCGAAAGCATGCCCATGGTTGAGGCCGAACGGCCCCGCCCCGCTCGCGAACTTGCCCGGACTGAACAGCTCCGTCACATGCGTTGAAGAAACCCATCTCGGTGATGACGTCCTCGATCTCTTCCGACGAGCTGACGCCCATGGCGTTCTCCGCTGCGGGGTCCGCCTCAGCGCTTCCCTTCGCGCCCTCGCCCGAGCGCCCTCCATCGCCGCCGGCGGAGGTTCGCCGCGGAGATCTCCAGGCCCAGGAGCCGCCGCACTCGGCGCCGCCGAACTCAACGCTGCTGCACCCGACGCCGCTGCGCCCGATGCCGCTGGGGGTTGACCGTGATCTGGCGCCGCGCCAGGGGGCGCGCGACCCCCCTCAGCCCGCGCCGCCTCTGGCTCAACCGCTTGCCGTTCAGACAGCCTCTTCTCTCCGCGTCGCCCCTCAGCTTTCCTCGCGCGCTTCCTCATCTCGAAGTCCTCTTCCATGAGCTTCGTGGCTCTCGCCCTGCAGGTCTCGCTGCGGCTGCGAGCCAGCAGTCCTGCTGCGTAGCTCTTGCAGCCTATGCAGCCCGGGGCGCGCCCGAACTTCTTGATCCCCACCTCGTTGCGGATGCGCGCGCGCCGCGGACCGGGAACTCCTCCGGCGCCCGTGCCTGGCCGCGCAGCCTGCGGGTCTACTGGCAGAAGCGCCTCGTCGGACGCTCCCTCGATCGGGGGCCTGGCAGCGGGCGCCTCGCCCCCGCCTCTGGGTGCACCTGGCGAAGGCCGCCACGGTGACCCCTGCATCTTCTTCAGCAGCTCGGCGTCGTAGCGGTCTCCGCCGGCCTTCCGCTTGACCGTCCTGGCCCGGATCGCGCCCGTCTCGGCGCCGATGCGCAGCTCCTGGCTCGTGAGCGCCCCCGGCCCCTGTCCGCTGGCAGGTAAAACGCCGTCTCGGCGAACGGCGGGAGCTCTCTCATGTACTTCTTTCCGCGTAGCCTCTCGCGCGCCGCGGGCCCGTCCGCCCCCGCCTTGGAAGGCGTCGGTTCGGTGACCGTGACAAACGGTACCACCAATATTGCCGGGGGTTCTCTCAACAATGTGAGCATATGACCTCATACGTTCAAGTAGAGCGTCAAATTGTTGTTGGTCTCCCGGCGTATGGTGGTTTAAAGGCTGCAAGTTGTTGTGCGCGCGATGCCCCCACTCCAAGGGCTCTGAGTAGAATCGCTGTAAAGATTTGGAAGTTGGGGATGTTGAAACCGGCTGTTTCAGCTTCGTAGCGGGTTATCCCAAAACGTGCTAACGTCTGGTCGATGCGTTCACCCGCATGCACTCGGAAATCATGAGAGCAGTACCAGGGTTGAGTTGGCACTCCTCTTCTAAATTCTCGAACTTCGTGCTTAAGATGAGCATAAAATAGGTGGCGCCGTCAGTATGAGCCACCTATGTTGACACCAAAATTGATAATTGTTGGAAAGACCCTCATGGCGATAGTCCGTGCGAGACCTCCCAAACCTCGCTGCAGAGCTGCAGTCTGCTGGGAGGGCGTCATATTGCCTGTGGTCACATTGATCCAGGCATGTACCTCGCGGACGAATTCGCGAAAAGGTACTTGACCGGCTGGTCCCACTGAGGGCAGGCCGTTCGTGTGTCGTTTCCGCCACGCATATGTCCTACCGCACGCCCAACAGCGACCCAGGTGACTCCAATGGTCTCGTAGGTCGTAGTCGGATGTAGTCGGTTGGGACTTCCGTTGGGTAGTCGTAAGTCTGCGTGGGGTTGGAGGCGGCTGTCTATCATATCGCATGTTTCCATGCGATATATATATATATATATATATATATATATATATGTATATATCAGAATAAATTACAAATTGGAGTAGGTGGGTGGACTTCAGGGGTGTAGAAGCGCAGGGATGTAGGGTGCAAGTAAGATACCTCCGCTTGAGCAACAATATCGCTGCACGTGTCGTTGCGGCGTTGCGTAGCTATGTACATTCTTCCGCACAAACCCACTGCACCCGGATGTTCCACCATATCCGTAGTCCACCAAATAGTGCCGTGCATGGTGAGGAATAGAGCGAAAGCTGAGCACCATAGGCCAGCTCCGCTACCAAGTTTGAAGGGGGCTGGGAGGCCCAACCAGCACCTTCGCTGTAGGCGAAGCCAAGCTCCAGCTCAGTTGTACTGTAGTAGCGGGAATCCCAGTAGCAGAGGATGTGCCATCTTAAGCAATAGGGGAATCCTTTTGGTCTCGAAAGCGAGTGTGTGCCTCGCGGTGAAGCACGGTCAAATGTGGGCGGCCGGCCGCTTGAGCCGACGCGGCCGCGGGCGCACGCTCGCTTCCATTCCTTACGTCCCTCAGCTCGCTTTAGAATTAGACATGTTGTTGGTCGGTCGTACCGTTCGAACTTGTCGCCCCCATCCTGGGGGGGGGGGCTGGCGACAGCACAGCGGGGCCCTTGCAGCAAGCTCCTACGCCTGGACGGCGCGGTGCCCTGGCGTCCGATACTGAACCGTGAGATCCGACGTTGCGAAACAAATCAGCATCGCAAATAATTGCGACCAAATCCCTCAACCCCACCGCTCTGCTGCAGATTCCGAGCCAGATCGGTGTCTGATGGCCCTGCAGCAAGAAACCCGGCGAACACTTGGCGAAAACGCGCGGTGTGAGCCAGTTACAGCGCCCAGATCAAGGCCTGATGATACCCCCCCAGCACGAACAAAACTTGTCGAAGGCACACGCGGATGCCAGGGGAGGCGCTCCGTCTCCTTTTGCAGCGGCACCTCCCAAGACCCTGCGATGGATCGCACAAGAAATTTGCTCCTCGCTTGTGCGCTTCCAGTCCCCCCAGATCGCCCAAGAGCGCCCCGATAGCGACGCCTGTCCTCGGCTCTGAGCAGGGCGACGCGGGACAACGGCAGCTCAAACTCAGCCCCCAGGCCCCTCCTGGGGATCTGAACGCAACGGTTTCCCGAGCAGCGTCCAGCCGTGGCGACGAGGGACCCCCACGAAAGCCAAGTACCGCTGTCTCAACTCGCTCTCCTCTGGTCGGAGGACCCCCCATGGTCCATGCCCCCCCCAAGGGCGGTCCACGGTGGCCGTCTTGAGGGACTCCTCGGTCTCCTGGGCGCTGCCACGAACCTGGCTGTTCGGTTGCGAAAGAGGGAGGACGAGGGGGAGGGGGAGGTGTCTCGACTCGACTCGATCTGGAGCGCGGAGGGAAGGCGAAGGGACAAGGGAAAGGGGAAAGGAAAGGAGGAGTTTGCGTTGACGCTGACGCGGTGCTTCGCATTATCTACCCCAACACTCGACAGAACTGGAGCCTATCCCACCCGTCCCTCCACAATCCGCCACCCCCACCTCCGGAACCAGGACCACCCCACCCTCCCAGCACCCCCCCAACCAACAACTCACCACCCATCGAAAGCCCAGTGGGACGGAATTGACATGAACGAACCCGAATTCCAACTATTCCACAGCGGAACCAAGCCAACTGGTTCCAATTCCAACCCAACAAAAGATGTCGCGCTGCCAGAAGAAACAATTGTAGCACAAGGATGCTAGATGATGTGTAAATCTATGAAATACACCCTATACTCCCATACGACAATTCTCTATGTCATCATGCGCCCGGAAGAAATTACACGTATCTGTTGTGACATATTCCGGGTTGTGTCGGACATCCTCAGGACACCTGGAGGCATCCTTAGGATTCGGGAACCCCGGGAAACCCAAGAGAAACTAGGAACTCAACAGGTTCCTCGAGAACTCCTGAGGCATCCTCAGGACAACCCGAGGGCCATGGTTGGGAGCAGTGCGGAATAGTAAGAAGCCCGTCTGGCCTGAATAGCAGTCGCAAGGGCCCTCGGAGCCTCGACCCCCCCCCTCCGTGGCCGCCAAGATGCCCAAGACACCTTCTGAGGTGGCAGCAGAGGGGCTCCCACACGCCAAATACGCACCAAGAACAGCAAATATGGCCTGACAACGGTCCAAGGCGCCCTTAAGACGCCCTAAGAGGGCCGCAAAAGGACCCCCAACAGGGCACCATCCTCAACATTCGCGACGCCTTCCCTCTCAAAGCTGCCCAAGTCATTTGAGGGAAAAGCCCACGGGATGTTGAACTCCTACAAGGCGAGTGGACCTGCTCTCCGCAGAGTCGCCATCTGATACTTTCGCCATCAATGCACTACGGTGCAGGAGGTGGCGCGTGCTGACAAGGAGAAACTGTGCCAGAGTCATCCAAGACGCGGCAGGCCACAGCGGCTTGACCGAGAATGGCTTGAGCCAAATGGCTACGGGCCTCCCCACATAGGAATGTTGGAGGACCCGTCCCACAAAAATACGGCAAACTACAACAACACGGCCGACCAACACGGCAGACTGCAGGAGCATGGCAGAACAACACGGAAGCACGGCAGACCAGCATGACAGACCACAGGAACACGGCACACCAACATAGCTGACCACAAACGTGCGGCACACCAGCGCGGCAGACCAGAGCAGCACGGTAGACCTGCACGGCAGACCACAGCGGCACGGCAGACCAACACGACAGACATCCATATCCATGTTGGCTCAAGGCCATGATGCGCCCGACGACCGCGAGTCGTCCGCGGCGCTTTGACCACGAGGGGCTCCCAGCCGCGAGCCAGAGCCCAAGTCTCAGGACAGGCTCGCGGCCGCAAGGCCTAGTCGGGCTCGAGCGCGCGTCGGGCTGCGCTTTAGCGGCATGGCGGACGCCAAGGGAGCTGACAACAGGGTCCTGAAGCGCGAGGCATCCCGACTGGGCTACGGTGGAGGTGCCGGCGGGAGGGGGGGCCCAGCGCGGGCCCAAGACGTCTGGGCGGATCTCCCGAGATTGTGGCACAGTCAGCCCGTATAATAAAGACGCACGATACGGATGCAAGGGCCTTGGAAGGCCGTGTCGACACTCTGCGAGCGGGGCGCGGCCAGTGAGAGCGGCCACGGATGGGCCGAAGGAGAAGGATGCACGGGTAACCTTGGAGGGTTGCTCCTCCTTGCTATGCGGGTTGTCCGCAGTCCCTTTGCTTCCCCCGGACGAACTCAGGCGCACGATTGGGTCGGGCAAGACGAAGAAGCTGGAAACGGCCAAAAAGTCTGAGCTGGATCGGTCCAGAGAAGGTCTGTCAAGAGGGGTGCGAGGCGGGGGTTGAACCATATCCACCGCCTGGGATACGACGTCCTGGTTCCCAGCGGGCGGTGGATATGGATACCTTTTGCCCCCGGTGGCCCGACCATATCCATGTCCACAGCCAATGGAGGTCCGCGAAGATCGATGTCCCAAGCGGTGGTTATAGATCAATTCCCGCCTCGGAAGGGGGTGGTCAAGGGTAAATCCTTTCAAAATAAGTCCCTGGACCCCTCCTGGGGTCGAAACTCCCTAGTTTCTGGAGCCGCGTCCAGCCTTGGCAACGAGGGGGCCCTTTCTCCCCCCTTTCTGATGGCCGGAATCAATGCTGGGCCACCTCAGCCCCCAGCGGGCTGCAACACGGAAGAAGGGTGGCAGCCGAGGCGGCGCCATTGCGAAGCGGTCGTGGAGCTGCTCGAGTTGCAGCTGGAGCTTGGCCAGCTGCTGCTGGGAAGTGTAGAGGGTGACGCCGACCTCCTGGGCGGGCCAGCAAGCGGCTAGCGGCGGCGGCCGCTTCAAGAAACTAAACATGCATCAACGTAACTACATGTCCGAACCCCGCGCGGATGTTTGGGATCTTCGCCGGGCCCCCCTGGCAGCGCGTCCGGCGCCGCGCAGATCCAAGAAATCCGCGCGGAATTCCGACAAAGTATGTCAATATTGAATGTTGTTGATTCTTCTTCGGCGCCACGGATGGATGTGGCATCGCAGCGCAACAAGGATCGAGACAGAGACGGCTGGTCTTCCAGCACTTCCGGCCCCTGGAGGCCCCAGGGCCGTCAGAAACGGACCGGGGTGAAGAGCCGACCCGAGGAAAAGGGTCGAGATCCCTGTGGAGGGGGCCGATTGCAAAAAATGCGACGTCGGACAAGCGAGGGTCGCTGCTTCGCCTCGTCCCGCTCCCGTACCTTTGACTGAAAGAAGCGGGTCCTGATGGACACGGGTCTTGGATCCTTGGGCGTTCTCCCAGGACCAGCTCGTCATCCTGAGTCGTTATTTGACAGTCTCGGGGCCGCGGAGGGCACCGAGGGCCCGAAAGCGGCAAAGAAACTCAGGACCAGTTTCCCTCAGGACGCCTCTCCTTCATCGGAAGAACCAAGGAGGGCATAAACGTAGCTGATTTCTTGGCTCGGCGCCACAGGCGCCGCCAGGGGGGCACAACGCCGAGCCGAGAAATCCTCATGGAACTCCGAAACAAATATGGTCACGCCGTTGTGTGTTCTCCGACCCTCTCCTTCATGCCGATACATCGGGGAGGTAAACACGACGCATCGGCGACGCTGGCATAGAAAAAGTCGGGCCCACATCTAATTGCATCCCCAATGCATCGGCGATGCGGCGCGGCCCACTGACCCGATCCACTCGGAACCCACATGGGAGGCCTAGATTGATGGCGATCCCTCCTCCCTGTCCCCTCCCTGCCCTCCTCCTCGTCCTCCTCGTCCTCTTCGTCCTCGTCATCGACCTCGACCTCGACCTCGTCCTCGACCTCGTGCTCCTCCTCCTCCTCTCTTCCTCCTCCTCCTCCTCCTCCTCCCTCAGCCTCCTGTTTCATTATCGTCCTCATCCTCCCTCCTCCTCCCTCCTCGTCCTCCTCCTCCTCCTTCTCCTCCTCCGCGATCCTCGATCCTTGATCCTCGATCCTCGATCCTCGATCCTCCTCATCCTCCTCCACTTCCTGCTTGTTCTCTTTCTCCTCCTCCTCCTCCTCCTCTTCCTCCTCCTCCTCCTCCGCCTTCCGCCCTCCTCCCTCCTCCCTCCCTCCTCCCTCCCTCCTCCCTCCTCCCTCCCCGCTCCTCCCTCTTCCTTGTTTCCGTTACCCTGTTCCCATGTCCCGTTTCCCTTCTTCCCTTTTCCCTTTGCCCTGCTCCCTCCTCCCTGCTCCGTCCTCCCTCCACCATCTTCCCTTCCGC